CTGTATTTCTACGTATGAGGGAAACATGTACAGCCAATAGCTATACTAGGAACAGCTGCCTCTTTACCTCAGCCACCTATAGGCACAGAACTACTGTACAAAAAATAGTAATAACTATATTAGTGTGGAATTGATCTCATGAACAGGAAGATTTGCCCTGATTGCTATTCTTCCTGCATTATTGTGTTATTCTGATCATCTCCTCTCTACTCCCCTCTCACCTCTACTTTTAAATGTACCACCCTCATAGATAGGTGCTAGGTTTAGTTAGATAGCTTTAGTTCTGTTTTGGTAGGTACATTTAGTTATCACACTATAGGCAGTTAGCTCTGGTAAGTGTGATCTACTGCTGTTAGGCTAATAGCTCTCTCTGCATCTAGAAGGCTTGAGAAGTTTCTGCATGATAGGTGTGGAGCTATGCAGATGGCAGCATGAATATTGATACATCCCCAGCCTATCCCAAAAAGACTGACTCTGGAGGCATGTTGGATAACTAGAAATATTTAGAGAGCACACTGGGCTCTGGGTCTTTCCTGCCTAGGATTTTTCCAGCCTGGGAAAGGGCATGTTGTCCTCTCTGGCATCTGCTGCCATGCAGCCTCAGGTGAGCAACCTGAGGGCCTGAATGCTGAGACCCAGGTTCTACTAAAGCTGACTGAGGGGACTTCTACTAGAGATGTTGGTTTGGTATCATGGAGGAAGGCTGCCATCTGCTGTTGGGCCTTGTGAGACACCCCTAAAGGATCTTAGAGACTGTGTGCTATGTAACCCCCTCTGGTGCTAGGAAGTCAGCTGTGGGTCTGGTTTAAAGGGGATACCAACTGATGTCCCAAAGAGCTTTGATCCTTTAAACTCTTGCTACAAAGAAAGCTGCCCAACCTTGCTGCTACTTTTACTACTGTTGCCCTAAAGCTGAAGTCTACTGTTTGCTTCAAGCATGGATTTTGTTATAGCTTATCCAAGAGATTGCCTAAAGTTTTCAAGTGGATAGAGTTTCTATTTTTGGAGTATCCAACTTATCTTCCTCATCCCTATCCAAGTTCTCCAAAAATAACAACAACACAAACAACACCCCTATACTGGTCATTGAAGAAAACGAGTGAATGAGCCTGTATGAATGGCTGCGGGATGAAGATTGTGGGGAAACCTGGACAGTATTCTAGCGGCTCCTACGAGAGTAGCTCTACATGTTTTTTTTTTACCCCTTGTGCTTTGTTTATCCTATATGTGGTATCACTGTTTAATAGTGACTTTCCATGTCAATAACTTGAAGGAGACAAGTTGTATGGCATGGATATGGCTCTAGTGACTCAAGAGGTATATAAGTTATTCTTTTGTTGTTTGTATACAAGATTGCATCAAGACTACACTGTATTTGTTCTTTCCACTATGACTCTGGGTCAATGAGCCTTTTATATACCGTGTCTGTGATATTTCCTGTACTGCTGTATTGTACACCATTGAAATACTGATTCATATCAGACCTTTTCCATATTTTGTTCATTATTTTTGTTGACCCACCGAGGTTGTAACGCTGTGTTAACTGGTTGTTTGTTTAGTTGTATGTTTACTACTTTTAAAATTCAATAAAAAAGTATCTGTTTAACAACAAAAGTCCCTGATTTTGTACTTTTTGTATGTCACTGTTAGCAACCAAGGGTTTACCCTGGGTGTGGCCTAGAACCAAGCTCAGGTAACCCACAAAAATGCAATTTTTTGTACTCTTTAAAAGGTTAGTGTAGGACTTACTTGGCGTGGATGGTAAGCTTGCATATTTTGGCCAAAACACAAATATATTCTGTTTGTTTTGGGCTTATAGGGAGCAAAGTATAGTTAAAGGATGCGTTTAAGATGCCTACCAGCCAGCTGGTTTGAAAGATTCTGCTAACATAATTACTAATATAATTGAATTCCTTTTATGTAATAATACAAAATAATTGTATAATAGTTATTTACATAGTTTGTGTTTGCAGTTTTGCAGTTCTTAAGATACATGCTTAGTAATAAGGACTTTCTTACTTCGCCTAAAATTAATAATTTTAAAATAATAGCACTGCACATATATACAGTTGCAAGAAAAAGTATGTGAACCCCTTGGGATTATGTGGAGTTTTGCATGAATTGAGCATAAAATGTGCTCTGAACGTCATCTAAGTCACAACAATAGAAGAACACAGTCTGCTGAACATAATACTACACAAACATTAGATGTTGCCATGGTTTAATTGCACATAACATGTAAACATTCACAGTGCAGGGAGGAAAAAGTATGTGAACCTTTGGACTTAATAACTGGTTGACCCTCCTTTGGCAGCAATAACCTCAACCAAACGTTTCCTGTAGTTGCAGATCAGACCTGCACAACAATCTGGAGTAATTTTGGACCACTCCTCTTCACAAAACTGTTTCAGTGTAGCAATATTCTTGGGATGTCTGGTGTGAATCGCTCTCTTAAGGTCATGCCACAGCATTTCAATCGGGTTGAGGTCAGGACTCTGACTGGGCCACTCCAGAAGGCGTATTCTGTGCTGTTGCAGCCATTGTTTTGTTGAATTACTTGTATGCTTTGGGTCATTGTCCTGTTGCATCACCCATCCTCTGCGGAGCTTCAGTTGGCGGACAGATGGTTGTACGTTTTCCTGCAAAATGTTTTGATAAACTCTGGAATTCATTTTCCCATCAATGACAACAATCCGTCCAGGCCCTGAGGCAGCAAAGCAGCCACAAACCATGATGCTCCCTCCGCCATGTTTTACAGTGGGGATGAGGTTTTGATGTCGGTGTGCTGTGCCTTTTTTTCTCCACACATAGTGTTGTGTGTTCTTCCCAAACAACTCAATCTTGGTTTCATCTGTCCATAGTATATTTTGCCAGTAGTGCTGTGGAACATCAAGGTGCTCTTTTGCAAACTTCAAATGTGCTGCAATATTCTTTTTGGACAGCAATGGCTTCCTCCGTGGTGTCTTCCCATGTACTCCATTCTTGTTTAATGTTTTCCTTATTGTAGATGTGTTAACAAAAATGTTAGCATGTGCCGGAGATTTCTGTAGGTCTTTAGCTGACACTCTGGGATTCTTCTTTACCTCATGCAGCATTCTGCGCTGTGCTCTTGCAGTCATTTTTACAGGATGACCACACCTAGGGAGAGTAGCAACAGTGCTAAACTTTCTCCATTTGTAGACAGTCTGTCTTACCGTGGACACATGAACAACAAGGCTTTTGGAGATACTTTTGTAACCCTTTCCAGCTTCATGCAAGTCAACAATTCTTGATTGTAGGTCTTCTGAAAGCTCTTTTCTGCGAGGCATGGTTCACATCAGACAGTGCTTCTTGAAACCAGTAAACCCAAAACAGGTGTGTGTTTTTTAAGGGCAGGACAGCTGTCAGCAACACATCCAATATCATCACACTGATTGGAGTCAAGGTTGGCTCACTCCTGGCTCCAATTAGCTCTGGGAGAAGTCATTAAGCTAGGGCCTCACATACGTTTTCCTCCCTGCACTGTGAATGTTTACATGTTATGTGCAATTAAACCATGGCAACATCTAATGTTTGTGTAGTATTATGTTCAGCAGACTGTGTTCTTCTATTGTTGTGACTTAGATGACGTTCAGAGCACATTTTATGCCCAATTCATGCAAAACTCCACGTAACCCCAAGGGGTTCACATACTTTTTATTGCAACTGTATATATATATATATATATGTATATATATATATATATATATATATATATGTTGCTCAGCATAAATTAGTACACCTCTTTTGAAAAGTAATATTTTAACCTCCTTGGCGGTATTCCCGAGTGTAGCTCGGGGTAAGGTTTCTGTACCAAAAGTGGTAACCCCGAGCTACACTCGGGCTTACCATCCGGCGCTGCATAGGGAGTCCCTGCAGAGCTTACCTTGTCCTTCGCTCCCGCGATGTGTCCCCTGCAGCGTCCCCGGCCATCTCCTCCGGCTGATGCCGGCATCCGGCTTCTGTGTTCCGGTCCCTGTGACGTCGGGACGTACGGGCGCCGCTGGAGGCGGCGGGAAATTTGAAAATTTTTAAAACGTCATTTTTTTCAAAACGAATTTTACATAGTAAAACATTGCTGTTTCAAACCATTTCATGTACATTTTGTCCCTAGTGCTTTGTCCTGTCCCCTGCCTGCATTTTGACTGTTCTTTCTGCCTGGAAACTTAGAAAAGTCCATGGCGTCCAAAAAGCGTCCCTTTAGGTCAAACGCGGTTTTAGACCGGCTAGAGAACAGCGATAGTAAATGAGAACTACTTGCAGAATTGAGTGATAATGATTCGTGGAGAAATTCGTCATCAGACACTGAAAACAATTTTGCGACTTTGCTCAGTGATGTGCAAACTTGGCGCTATATTTCAAATTTCAGTGTTTTTGGTTTGATTATATTATTGAATTAAATGTATTATTATTATATTATTATTTTTTATGATTATTTATTAAATTATAATTTATGATTTTGTGTTTCAAATTTTATCATACCCGGGATGTTTAATAGACTCTTGTTCGGGCAGATTTCAGTGAGTTATTCCTAAATATTACAGCCTACAATAAAAAAACTACATATTTCCATGCAAAATAATGGTACCGCTTTCAGCACCAAAAATCTGAAATAATCATACCGCCAGGGAGGTTAATCAATATCTCAGTGAACATAGGAACAATTTTCAAAATTTTAGCAAAAGTGAGTTTTATAGAACATTTTTTTAGCTCACTACATGCAAGTAAGCTTAATAATATAATAATAATAATAGATTACAGAATCTTTGGCTTTACACAAATTAGTTGATGCAAAAATGAATACACCCCACAACAACTATATCTAGTATTTTGTATGAGTGCCATGATTTGTAAGGACAGCACCAAGTCTTCTAGGTATGGAATGAACAAGTTGGTGACATATTGCAACATCTATCTTTTGCCATTCTTCAAGAATGACCTCTTTTAGAGCCTGGATGGAGAGTGATGCTCAACTTGTCTCTTCAGAATTCCCTATAGGTGTTCGATTGGGCTCAGTTCAGGAGACATATTTGGCCACTGAATCACTTTCACCCTGTTATTCTTCAGGAATGCAAGAGTGGCCTTAGATGTGTGTTTTGGATCATTGTCATGTTGGAAAAGTGAATGAAGACCAAGGGCACAGAATGATGGCAGCATCTTCTCTTTCAATATACACCCTGTTCCAAATTATTATGCAAATGATATTTTTCTCATTTACCCAAATAATTGATGTAAATAACAGTCAGCATAATTCTCATGTTATCAACTATTAAGAGTACAATTCAAATTTTACTGAACAAACCTCCTAATGATAACAGTATTTTTTTTAAACATAAAACACTTACAATGCACTGTTTCAAGTTATTACGCACAGTAAGTTTCAAAACACTTTATAGGTTGTAAAGAACTGAAAATTGTCATTTGTTGTGTTCGCAGCATATTTACTGAAATCAAAAGCTATTTCAATCAAACTTTTAACATTTTAACTTTTTAAACATTTTAACAGGTCACGTTACATTTTAACATAGGACCCCTTATTTGATAGCAGCTTCACAAGTCTTGCATCCATTGAACTTGTGAGTTTTTGGACAGTTTCTGCTTGAATTTGTTTGCAAGAGGTCAGAATAGCCTCCCAGAGCTGCTGTTTGGATGTAAACTGCCTCCCACCCTCATAGATCTTTTGCTTGAGGATGCTCCAAAGGTTCTCAATAGGATTGAGGTCAGGGGAGGATGGAGGACACACCATGACATTCTCTTCTTTTATCCCCATAGCAGCCATTGATGCAGAGGTATTCTTTGCAGCATGAGATGGTGCATTGTCATGCATGAAGATGATTTTATTACGGAAAGCATAGTTCTTCCTTCTGTACCAGGAAAGAAAGTAGTTAGTCATAAACTCCACATACTTTGCAGAGGTCATCTTTACACCTTCGGGACCCTAAAGGGGCCGACCAGCTCTCTTCCCATGATTCCGGCCCAAAACATGGAGCCTTGCTGACGTCGCAGCCTTGTTGGAACAGGGTGGCCGTCCACCAACCATCCACTACTCCATCCATCTGGACCATCCAGAGTTGCACGACACTCATTAGTGAACAGGACTGTTTGAAAATTAGTCTTCATGTAGTCTTCATACTTCATGTATGCCCAATGCAGCCGTTTCTGCTTGTGAGCATTGGTTAGTGGTGGTCAAATAGAAGGTTTATGCACAGTTGCAAGACTCTGGAGGACGCTACACCTTGATGTCCATGGGACTCCAGAGGCACCGGCAGCTTCAAATATCTGTTTGCTGCTATGTAATGGTATTTTAGCAGCTGCTCTCTTGATCCGATGCATGGATCTGGCAGAAATCTTCCTCAATGTGCCTTTATCTGCACGAACCCGTCTGTGCTCTGAATCAGCCACAAATCTCTTAATAGTGCGATGATCACGCTTAAGGTTTCGTGAAATATCTAATGTTTTCATACCTCGTCCAAGGCATTGAACTATTTCACTTTTTTCGGCAGCAGAGAGATCGTTTTTCTTCCCCATATTGCTTGAAAATGGCGCTCTGCTTAATAATGTGGGAACACCATCCTTTAGTAGTTTTTCGTTAAATTAGGCTCACCTGCCAATCTAATTATCACAGGTGTCCGAGACTGTTTTCAGTGATCAAAAGAGACCTGAGACACAGTGCCATCCATGAGTTAAACTGAAAAACAAAATATTTCATCTTTGTGACACTTAAATAGAATTTGCATAATAATTTGGAACGCGGTCTAGAGCAGTACATCTGTGAATTCATGATACCATCAATGAAATGCAGCTCCCCGATACCAGCAGCACTCATGCAGTCTCACAAAAGGACACTGCCACAACAATGTTTCACTGTAGGTACCATGCATTTTTCTTTGTACTCCTCACCTTTGCGATGCCATACAGTTTTGAATCCTTCAGTTCCAAAAACATTTTTCTTATCACTCCAGAGTACAGAGTCCCAGTAGTCTTCTTCTTTTGCAGCATGGGCCCTGGAAAATTCTAGGAAGGCTTTTTTTTGTGCATGGGCTTTAGGATGACAACCTTCCTTCGTGGACGACAACCATGCATACCAGTCCTCTGCAGTGTACGCCATATTGTGTCATGGGAAACAATCACCCCAGTTTGACTTTCTACTTCTTTAGCTCCATGTAGTGAACTTGCATGGTGATTTTTTTCAACCCTTCTCATCAGTAGATGCTCCTATCGAGGTATTAACTTCCATGGGCAGCCTGGACGTCTCCCTGTGAGATGGTTGCAGTTCCATCTTTGTTAAATTTTTGTATTACTTTTGATACAGTATTCTGTCTGATAAGTAAAGATTTGCCGATCTTCTTGTAGTCTTCACCTTTTTTTGTGAATTATTTTCTTTCTCAGGCCTTGTGACATTTCTCTTCCATGTGGTACCATTGCTGACAGCATAAAATGGGAAGGGGTTTTCTTTGTCAGTAATAATCATTTTTCTCTGGACACCTGTTTAATGAATATGTATGAATTCTGGTTAACCACTTGCCCTCCAGTGGATTTACCCCCCTTCCTGACCAGGTAATTTTTTGTGATACGGCGCTGAGTTACTTTAACTGACAATTGCATGGTTATGCAATGCTGCACCCAAATGAAATTTACATCCTTTTTTTCTCCCACAAATAAAGCTTTCTTTTGGTGGTATTTGATTGCCTCTGCATTTTTTATTTTTTGCGCTATAAACAAAAAAAGACCATCAATTTTGAAAAAAAAAAAACTATATTTGTGATTTTTTGATATTAAATATGTCAAGAAATTTTTTTTTTAAAAATCACATTTCATCATAAATGTAGGCCAAAGTGTATTCAGCTACATGTCTTTGCTAACAAAAAAAAAATCCCAATACGTGTAAATTAATTGGTTTACCTGAAAGTTATATCATCTACAAATAGCGGTATATGTTCTGGAATTTTTTTTTATACAGTAGTAATGGCGGCGATTGGCGACTTATAGTGGGACTGCGGCGGGCATGTTGACACTGGGGGGGGGAACTGATTTGGTGTCACTGACATCCCCAGTGACATCAATACAGTGATTAGTGCTAATAAAAAGCACTGACACTGTACTAATGGCACTGGGCAGGAAGGGGATAACATGTGGGGCGATCAAAGGGTTAACTGTGTGCTGTTTTACTGTGTGCTGTGTGTGTGCTTTACACTGTAAGCACACTGCTTATGCAGAGCCATACAAAGCAGTGTGCAGGAGCTGACAGGGGAGAGATCTGTGTTTGTTTATATACACATGTCTCTCCCCCATCGGACATACTCGGTGATCGCTGGGTGCCGGCGGGGAGTCACCAGCCAGGACCCGGTGATTGACAGCCGAGGCCATGAATGGCGGCCCCTACCTGGAACTGCAAAATTACGTATATATACGTGATTTTGCGCACCCGTGCCACCCTGTAGCAGTATTTCTGCTATAGGGTGGCGCAGAGGCACTTAATTAGGATTTTGTTGTCTAAAATTTAGCTTTGCTCCTAAGACTTTAATTGGGGTGTATTCATTTTTGCAACATGTTCTTGAATGAATCTGTTAGGAACAATACTTTTTTGTTTGTGCGAATGAAGAAATCTTGTGTGCAATCAATGGCCCGCATTTGTGGGAGTATTTTGTAGTATAGTGTCCCATAGAAAATGTTGATTCTGAAAGGAAAGTAAAGGTTTTCTGACAAATCTGTTGGGGTGTACTAATTTATACTGAGCGCTGTATATATACTGGAGATATATATATACAGTGAGGAACAGAAGTATTTGAACACCCTGCGATTTTGCAAGTTCTCCCACTTAGAAATCATGGAGGGGTCTGAAAATCACATTGTAGGTGCATTCCCACTCTGAGAGACAGAATTTAAAAACAAAAATTCGGGAAAATCACAGTGTATGATTTTTAAAGAATTTATTTGCACTGCTGGACATAAGTATTTGAACACCTGAGAAAATCAGTGTTAATATTTGGTACAGAAGCCTTTGTTTGCAATTACAGAGGTCAAACGTTTCCTGTAGTTCTTGACCAGGTTTGCACACACTGCAACAGGGATTTTGGCCCACTCCTCCACACAGATCTCCTCTAGATTTATCAGGTTTCGGGGCTGTCGCTGAGCAACACGGAGTTTCAACTCCCTCCAAAGATGTTCTATTGGATTTAGGTCTGGAGACTGGCTAGGCCACTCCAGAACCTTGATATGCTTCTTACGGAGCCACTCCGTGGTTATCCTGGCTGTGTGCTTCGAGTCGTTGTCATGTTGGAAGACCCAGCCACGACCCATCTTCAATGCTCTGACTGAGGGAAGGAGGTTGTTGCTCAAAATCTCACAATAAATGGCCCCATTCATCCTCTCCTTAATACAGTGCAGTTGTCCTGTCCCCTTCACAGAAAAGCACCCCCAAAGCATGATGTTACCACCCCCATGCTTCACAGTAGGGATGGTGTTCTTGGATTACAACTCATTCTTCTTTTTCCTCCAAACACGACAAGTGAAGTTTAGACCAAAAAGTTCTACTTTGGTCTCATCTGACCACATGACTTTCTCCCATGCCTCCTCTGGATCATCCAGATGGTCATTGGCAAACTTCAGACGGGCCTGGACATGTGATGACTTGAGCAGGGGAATCTTCCGTGCAATGCATGATTTGAAACCATGACGGCGTAGTGTTCTACCGGCAGTGACCTTTAAAACTGGGGTCCCAGCTCTGTTCATGTCATTGACCAGCTCCTCCCCTGTAGTTCTGGGGGCTGATTCCTCACCTTTCTTATCATCAGTGATACCACACGAGGTGAGATCTTGCATGGAGCCCCAGTCTGAGGGAGACTGACAGTCGTCTTTAGCCTCTTCCATTTTCTAACAATTTCTCCAACGGTTGATCTATTTTCACCAAGCTGCTTGGCAATTGCCCCGTAGCCCTTTCCAGCCTTGTGGAGGTCCACAATTTTGTCTCTGGTGTCTTTTGACAGCTCTTTGGTCTTGCCCATGGTAGTAGTTGGCGTCTGACTGACTGTGGGGTGGGCAGGTGTCTTTAAAGAGCTCAGACAGGTGCTACTAAGTTAGATTAATGAGTGGAGTAGAGGTGGACTTTTTAAAGGCACAGTAACAGGTCTTTGAGAGCCAGAATTCTTGATCTTTCTTAGGTGTTCAAATACTTATGTTCAGCATGCAAGACAAATAAATTCTTTAAAAATCATACAATGTGATTTCCTGAATTTTTTTTAAAACTTTTTTAAACTCTGTCTCTCAGAGTGGGAATGCACCTACAATGTAAATTTCAGACCCCTCCATGATTTCTAAGTGGGAGAACTTGCAAAATCGCAGGGTGTTCAAATACTTCTGTTCCTCACTGTATATATATATATCTTCACTTTTCGTGTGCTCTCCAAATGACTGGAATGCCTCTTGTAAAAGCTTTGTTAGTATAACATATAGATAAGTGAGAGATATATAGGGATCTAGAGTCCCTGCTGAACTGGATAATTTAAATCTATTAGACATGAGCGTTTCATTTTTTAACAAATGGTTTTTTGGGTGAAAATTTGGTTCTAAGAGATTCAGATGTATATGAATCTCCGAATGAACATAGTGACGAGTGTCAACAAATCCGAAAAAAGTTATGACAAAATTAATTAATGCATTTGTTTCATTCTTTTCATTTGGATGACATCACATCTTTTACACATATCCTAGGAGGCTTCTATACACTGTAGCTGGAGGAAGGTGGACCTGATGTGTGTCATGAAGGGGCTGACCACCTGGGCCTAGGAGAGAAGAAGATGGGGGACCTGGTGTCTAGCAGCAAAGCAGCGGCTCTCAACAGGACAATGTTTAATTTGTTTGGTTGATAAATATGTGAATACAGGATAAAAGGGAAGAATAAACGTAAAATATAACTGAACACCAATAGATTTTATTGCTGTCTGTGCCCCCATTAAGGAGAATCACTGCTTCTATTTGTCCTGTTTAGCATTATCATTGAAAGTGGAAGTAAAAGAAAATGCCTAATTTTGGGTTGTCCCCAGAAAAGTAATGGAGGGGAAATTTACCAATGGGGACACTAGTTCTGGTAACCTGGGGGTCCCCAAGGAATTACCTTAAAGTGTTACTAAACTCAGGACTCAGGATTCATTATATCTGGTCTCCCACAGTACACCGAACAGGGAAATGCAATTATTTTAGTAAATACAAACTTTTCTCATCAACAGTATAAAGCAGTCTTGTGACTTCTATCAGTGTCCAGCAGAGCACTAGTTAAAGCTTGTAGGAATTTTCATTCTCCTCTCACTGTCCTATGAGACTGCAGGACCCCTGACCCTCTGTCTGGACAGCGCTGATTGGCCCAGTGCTGATCACATGTACTCTTCCAAGAAAAAAGAAATAAACTCTCTAGCAATACACATCAAACTGAGCATGTGCAGCTTGCTTTCTGTTCTTTCAAGGTTCTGAACATCTTTTTTCTATCAGGAGAGTTAAAGAGTGAGTATAACAAGTCTACTGCATATACATTGATATTATGGGACTTTAACAGGGATGGCAAGAATGGAAAAGTCTCCCCAATGGACAAACAAAAAATAAACTGACTGGGGTTATAACCCTCCTTTACTCTATCCAAAATGAAAAAGAAAGTTTTGCCTATAGTTCTACTTTAAAAACAAATTAACACAAGGGACAAGTGGGATTGCATTTACTCTCTAAACATACATAATAAAAGGAGTGAAATCAAACCAGTAAAAACTTGCAAAAAAAAGAAGCTGAAGTGGGCACAGTCTGCTAAGAGCACTTGTAATGCTAGCTGGACATGTCAAGGGGTAAGAGGGGTTGATATGGACACTGAAGTTTGATTGTTGTAAAGGCTTGTTCATATCAGCAAGCTGTGTGGATTACATGGTCACTGCTGTTCTCTGGGAGAAAAGTGTATTATTTATTTATTTATTTAATTCAATAATTAAAAACAATAATGTGACATTTCATTAAGTTCTATTCACACAGCAGCACTGTGATACAATAGTTTGCATCTCAACCCCCGTGCTGATAAAAAGTACCTTTTTCAGCTCAGAGCACTGCAATGCAGTTCTGTAAACATCCCTCATAGGGAACAAGGCTTTTCGCCATGTCTTGTGTTGGAACTGCGCTGTGCATTATACTGCGTACTTATTGTGATTGAGCCCTAAAGGTAGCCCCGTCC